CGCCTTGCAATCCGCCCTTCTCTTCGTCAACGGGAAAGATTTGGGGGTTTCCTTCGCCATGGGAAGTCCGTTCGCCCTCCAAAGACGAAAAAGAAGAAGAGGAAGGCCGGGGATCGGTAAAGTCCGCGAGGTCGATGATCAGGTCGAGGTGCGGGGCCGCCTTCGTGCGCGTGATGGTGCCGCCGAGGACGTGAATCAGCGTCGTCGTCAGCGCCAGCGCCGCGGCCGGGGGAAGCGGATCCCGCAGCGCGTAGGCCGCCTTTGTACGACATGAAGCCGCCGCCGCCTCATAATTCTCTTTAGAAGTATTCTCAATCCTATTATTCGTCTTGTTTGGCTTGTGTTCCCCTTTGTTTGCTGGGGAAGATGAGGGGTGGGGCCTGTCGAGGCCCCCGCGCCGCTCTCCCGGGCCGTCCAGCTCGATGTAGAACATCAAATCATGGAAGATGGCGTCGTAGTAGGGCCGCTCCGGCCGCTGCCCGGCGGGGACTCGACCTTCGCGGACTTCTTTTTGCAAAAACGCCAACATCGCCGGGGCCGGCCGAGGCCGCCGCTGTTCTTCCGGGGCGGCCGCTCGGGGGGGGACTCGCGGCCGAAAAGGGGGTGATGGTGGCGCTCCGGCCGCACCGCCGGCAGCCTCGCCAGCGCCACCGCGTCGTCCACCCAGCGCGGCGTCAAAATCGGAATCCCAAGCGCCTTCGCGAGGAGGATCTCCGGCGTCGCCCTCGCATTTTCCTTGTCCGTTGCCCTTTCATCGCCCTTCACATTCGAAAAAGTCGAATTTGTTGAGGGATGGGAGGTTTCCGCGGGAGTCGCGAGCCCGGGCTCCTCGACGATGAGGTGGGTGGGGTCGGGGGTGCGGTGGCGCCGGCCCTCCACCCCCCACCGCGGTAAAACGGCCGCCCCGAGCGCCTCGAGGACGTCCGCGCAAAACGACAACGCGCCCGCCTCGCGCACGACAAACGCCACGCGAATGTCGTGAGGAACGGGACTATTATGAATCCTATGAATAATATTATTCCTATTAGTCGAAATGGTATTATTAGTAGTCGTTTTACTGGTATGATTGGCGGAATGTT